TCCCTGGGTTGTTTCCTTTACCTTTCTCCTTGTAAATAAATCCATTATTGAACCTTTTTGCATGTGTCCATAATACAATTAAATCTTAAGTGAGGACCCACAGACAGGCAACTCAAGTCACATTGGGGTGCCCTGTAACATTACTAGTGTGACTTAAGTAAGATTAGTAATATTAATAAGTAAGATCAGTAATATGATTAGTAAGTAAGTAAAATTAGTAAGACTTTGAGGGTCTGGTAATCAGTTGGTTGGGGCCATCCAACCAATCCCTGTCACTGACTAGACACAATCAAAATACTGAGTGTGCCTGGACATGATTAGAAAGGAAGGGTCCATTCTTTCAGGAGTCTTAGGCCAGCACAATTAGAGAATAACATAGGCAATGTCTGACAGGATATGAAAAAGGCTGCATGACTTAATATTTATTGATGGGGTATTTCATAACACAGAGAATAAGCACCCAATTTTGACTGTGGTGAGTCAGGTGTTCTACCAGGACATGATAGATCTGATTTCAGAAGCTGGGATAGAGGGACCTCCCTGGTGGCGCAATGGGTTAGGGCGTGGCACTGGAAGCTCTACACAGCCTCCTCAGCATGAGTTCAATCCCCCACCCCAGAGGTGACCCACATGGCACACACCATGTGGCCTCTGACCTGCCCACTGCTTCCCTCAGCAGTGTACTTCGACGATCTGCCAGTTCTACTCCCCATTCTGTCTCACCACTCTTGCATCTCTGGCTTGTACCCTAGTCCTGTATGAATAAGTAAATCAATTTTAAAAGAAAAAAAAGAAACTGGGATAGAAATTATTTATTCAAAAAAAGGGAGGAACTTGAATGGAGGAGGTATGACAGCTTTGCCAGACCTTGGAAATATTTTTAAACAATGCTTTATTGTTCTGAGTATAGGTATTAACTCTTTCATTATACATGTAAGCTCTTCTGGAAATTTCACTAAAAACATTTGTTGGATAAAGCAAATGTAGAATGTCTGGATTAACTCGTAAGTGTCCTGTCAAGGGAATATTTCATTTAATGCCACTCCTTAGTATAAACATGGATTGTATGTGTGCATTATTACCTAATAAATCTCCCCTCCCCACACCCAGCTATGCACTAGTGTGGATCCTGGAACTCCCGTATCACCAGCTACTGCTCATCAATCCCTCGGTCCCATGTGCAACCCCTGTTGATGAGCAACAATGGCTGTTGTACAGGCAGAAATCAGGAGGAACATATGTCTCTTATTCTACCAAGTCTTTCATTTCATGCTGTTACCAAGATGCCTAGAAATCCTGATTGGATGGGAAGGAGATTAGCATTTTCCCTAGTGGAATAATTTCATTATAGCAGAAGTGTCATCTCCCTAAGCTAAATGTGGGAAGAATAATAGAAAAATTACAGATCATGGAACATACTAGGCTTTATTAGAAATTATGACATGACTTCAGAGAGCACATCTTGATATGTTTGAATAAACCCCATAAAATTTAGGTAACTGCATTACTCAATTTCAATTCTCACTTTTCTCATATGCATCCCTTTTATACAAAAAACACTCCCCACCATCTGGCTGATTTATAGAATAAAAAGCCATTGCAGGCTTCTGACTCTCCTTGTCTTCTGAGTTTACAGAAGAGACCTATTTAACCTCAATAGCATCAACTCCAATAATCAGTACAGTACAGGGAAAACCAAACTCTGCCCTGATGTGAGAACATTACATCACTTATAAGGCATTTCAATGTCTGGTTTCCTATGGGCATCAGAGACATCCATGTATTGTATAAAGATTCTTAAGAAATAAATCAACACATATTAAAACTTGAGCTTGCTGTGGCTTCTTTACCTTTATTCTTTTTAAAATTTTTTTTAAAGATTTATTTATTTGTGCATACAGAACTGGGGTATAGGCCAGAGGCTCAGGGGCAGCGAGAGGCTTCACCAGAGACAGTGTGGAGCAGAACAGGCAGATCCACGAAGTACACTGCTGAGGGGAGCAGGGGGTGGGTCAGTAGAGGTCTGCCGCGCCATGTGGTCACCTCCGGGGCAGGCGGGAATCGAACTCATGCGGAAGTGGCTTTAGCTTCTTAGTGCTGTGATTTAACCCGCTGCACCACCAGGGAGGGCCACTTTACCTTTATTCTTAGTATAAGACTTTTTAACTTTAATTTTGTACTATGGATTTTCCTTTGGGTATTGCTGAAGTGGGGTGGAGGAGTGAATTCTATAGTTAATTTTAAGGTTATATGAAGGTATAAGTAATTTTCTGTTTCGTATGGTGAAACTGATAGAAATAGTACTGAGGTCCTGCTAGATAGCAAATCCCATGGGTGGCAGAAATTTCTAGGTACTAATATGTCTCCAGAGAAGAAATTGCTTAATCAATAGACACAATGAACTGAAATGAGGTGGATTAAGATAGAGAAGTTAGCAAAGATAAAATGTGATGGTTCCCAAGTTCTGTTCTGTGAGAGAAGAAAAATGAAAGAAAATGAGAGCTAGAAATAAGAACAACAACAACATATTAATATATTATATAATATATATTGTATTATACATATAATATACATTTTATGAATTCTGGAAATACTAAATTTAAAGGAACACTTCTTGTTATTATAAACATACTATACTTGTTCTTTCAGGATAAACATCTACAAAAATTCTACATTTAGAGTTCTTATGGTAAAAAAAGGAAGCTTCCTTTTTTTTTTCCGTTAACAACCATGTATCAGGTGCTTCTCACTTTATTTGAATTGTATGAAGTCAAGGTGGCTTAGAACTCTGTGTTAACTTAAGATGATGAGATGCACAGTTAGTACAGTGACCTTGGATTTTAACCTAATAAACCAATGAGTGTGGGCCTGGGGCAAGTTACTTTACTGATCTCCATATTAATTTTTGTAAGTAGGTTTATATTGATTCCTTTCAAGTTTTCTCTTGTTTAAAAATATTGTCTCCCCACTTAATGAATTATCAGTCTTGACAAAGTATGTCCACTTCCTGAAATATTTCTCATACTTTTCTTATAAAGAATCTTTTCATCCTTTGGTCATGGAATGAAAGATTATTTATATGAGAATACTTTACTTCTAAAATAATGATACATTACTAAAACTCTAGATCACAGCTTGGTGGTTGTTACTGTTTAATGTATTCCTTAAGGTATATGTTTTTCTACAATTGGTTTAGTTTTTAAGAGCTTAATACAACAGAGAAAATGGGTGGGGCTTCCCTGGTAGCTGAGAGGTTGGTTAATTCTCAGCACTAGGAAGCTATCCGAAGCTATTGCAGCATGTTCGATCCCTGGCCAGGGAGCTGACCCACATGGCACAGCAGACCTCTCCCATCTTACTCGCTGCTCCCCTCAGCAGTGTATTTCAGTACATCTGCCTGTTCTGCTCCCCACCCTGCCTCCGCTGAATCCTCTCATCCCCCGCCACCACATTGCACCTCTGCCCAGAAACCTAGCTCTTGTAAGTATAAATAAATAAATCTTTAGAAGCAAAACAGAAAGAATGGGGCTAGAGAGAAGAGGGAGAGGGAAGGAGAAAGAAAGTGAGGAGCAGAAGAGGAAAGAGAAGAGAAGGAGAGAGGAGGAGAAAGACAATTCTCTGTTTTCCAAATATATCCCTTTTGTTTCTTTTCATCTGTCTAATCTTCCAGTGGGCATTAAACAGTTGTCCCATTTCAAACAAAAGCATGGAGAAATGCATTAGTCCAGGAAATAAGTGATTCACTTTAGGAAGCAACTGGAAGCCTTGTAGTCATATAATGTGTTGGTTCAGTCTATACCCGGGTACTTACAAATAAACAATAAAAATTCACAAAATCAGAGGTCATTCTCTGAGGGCCTTTAAGAAGCAAGAAGGTGAGCTTAAGTTTAGTATTTTCCTATGCCTGTTGATACATGAAAACTACTTTACATTCACAACACATTTTTTTAAGAAATTAGTTATGAATTTAGATATTTAGGATACTCCTTGGAAAAATCAGCTTTCAAATGAAGATAATTTACAGTGAATGCTATTGAAAAAGCATGATTAAAAAAATAAAACTTCAGGTCACTATTGAAGAACAAACTTAAATATTTTCCTCTCAAAACTATTATATTTTAACCCAAATCACTGCTTATTATTAATTGTAATAACTGACATATAAAGAAAGCTACCTTATATGTCATGATGTTTGACTGTGAGGAAAATCATAGTCAGTACAAATTTAGAATTAAGTATATGTGTGTGTTGCCTGCCTCAGCACAAGGCATAGGAGTCGTGTTATACAACAGGAGGCATTTGGCTCCATTCAGTAGGACATTAAGGACAGATCGAGGAGCGTCCCCAGGAAATGCAGGAAATGGGGTGACTTAAATAATTTCAACAACGAGTCTATAGGAGTTAGTAACACATATGCCATAGTCAATTCACATCTGATTTCATTAAAAAACAAATCAAAACAAAACAAAAAACCTGTGCTCTAAGTGAGACCTTTATTTGACATACGTGCACAGTGCGTGTTCTCTCTAAGTGGGCTAGGTTTGTTCTCATGCCATGGGAGCAGGTGGCATGAAGCTGTTTTGATGAGGTTAAAAGGCTCCTCCCCTCTTTCCCCAAGCAGCAGCCTGAAGTACGTCAGCAGTAATTGTGTGCCTGGCTCGGCTGTGCAGGAAGGATGGAGGCAAAATTGATATGGAATAAGGGTGTCAAACTGCGCCCTGGATACCCCCTTTAAGTTGTTCCTCATTTTCATTGGCCGTGCCAGGGGTGAAACGCGTATAACTCGACAGCCTCTGTAGTAAGAACATTTCTATTTTCCTTCTTCATAAAGACCGAGTTAGTGTGCTCCTGGATATAAATGACGGGGTTTCTTTATCCTCTTCTCATTTTATTATTTACAAATCAGACTTCGGCTCAGTTAGATAAAAGAGAGAGGTTCTGTTGCCTAGATGTGAGGCCTTTAATGAGAATGGGAGACCCCAGGGAGCCGAAATCCGAAGTAGAACCATGCTGCTTTCGGGTTTCTTGTCATTTCTTCAGTTGCTTCTTCTCCTCCCTTTTCCATTGGGCCTAGTGAGCAGGAACTATCCAAGGTGCTAGGATGCTGGCAGCTTTGCTGTTCAATGCAGACGGATTGCAGAAACAGAGAAGAAAGATTACTGCTTATTTCAGAAGGTAGGTTCTTTGTTTCAGAATCCCTGATTAATCAGCAGCAGCATCAACAGACTAAGGCAGCTGGAGAGGAGAGAGAGAAGGGAGGGAGCGAGGGGCAGGGAGGGAGGGGAGAGAGAGAATGAGAGAGAGCTGGTTGTCACGGGGGAGGAACGATGCCACAAGCTAGGCTGCTTCAAACCTTCTGTATGTAAGTAGCAATGAGAAAGAGCATCTTTTGGGCTGAAAGGAGACATTTAGAAAGGATGCTTCTGATTTTTTGCTTTCATTTATTTTTGTCTTCACAGAATATAATCAAATGAGGCACCTCAGCCAGCCTGGGTGATTGCTTCGAGTCTTACAATCATCTGTGTAGCAAAGTGGGTAAAATCATTCCATTTCTTCCCTGCTGGACCTGGAAGGAGAGGGGCCGTGTGTTCATGCCCACCCGTTAGCTATAGCCTCTTTCTTCTGAATGTGGATTGAAGGAAGCAAGCACCTGTTTTCTGCTACCGTGTCTTTCTAGAAAACTTTAAAGGCCATTTTACCTGATAGATAGAAAGACATCAAGAATTCTCTGATTTCTAGTGATGAAGAATCTGGCAGTGGACACTTACCCCATCCAGATACAATGCACTTTAATTGAAGAAAAACTGAACTGAACTACAAGTCTGTGTCTTATGGTGCTGGATTACCCCACAGCGCTGCCCTGAGGTTCATCACAAGCGAGGACTCTGACAGACTCAAGTCACCTTCTGATTATTGCACTTAGCTCTCCCTGGGGATTTAAATTTTGGTATGTATATCGTTTTTCAAATTCTTTAAGCATGCTAATTGAAGGCAGCATTAAACAGATCAAGCAGTCTGGTTATGAAATGGACCCGGTTTTAGCTGGGGAGACTTCATGCTGAAGTTTGCATGTCTTTCTAGGAGGATCAGAAAGAAAGCCACAGCAAAGGCATCTAGGGCTTTAATGAATGTCAGGCTATGTTGAAGCCTCTTAGCCCCTTAGTGCCATTACCACAGAAATGGTTAAACTAGATTTTTATTGGTAAAATAAAACCCTGTTGAATTATTAAAAGCATTGAAAATATTTTCCAGGGTGTTAATTGGAATTCACGTTGTACATGCTAGCTATTTATCTGCCATTCCATATCATAAATATTTGATAAAAGTATATCAGCACACTTGTATTAGCCCAATTTTGCCTTCTCAAAAAGGCACAGAACCCCCTTCCCCCCCCAAAATCCAAACTATCAGACACCTAACTGAAACTGCTTCTTCCTAAGTGATTAGGCATAAACCTTTGAGAAAAAATATATTTTAATGCCACCTAACATCAGAAAGATTTCACTAGTGCCATCACAATACATATTTTCTATAAAACTTTAGATGGGCTTGTTTTATTTGGGAAATATTTATTTTTGTTGGAGTGTACCCATTCTAATTTTTTCAATTGCCAGCAATGTTGTAATTACAAGAAATGTAGGTCTTTCCTATCTGAAACTACTATCACATGGAATAATGTTGTTTATTCTCACTAGGTGATTTTAAAGTTGGTTTAGAACTATCCAGGTGGATTTCCTCCCTAACCATAGTCAAAAATAAGATAACAAAATTGAAAAGTTTATTTGATGTGGTTTTTTTTTTCTTTTTTGGTCATTTTAACATGCAAATTTTATAACTCAGTCTTGGGAATAATGAATGCAATGCAAGAGTGAAAATTAATTTCCCTCCTAATTCATCATAGCCTTTACCATGTTCCAATTTATTTTCTATATTATCAAGTGGGAATCGAATAAATTTGTGTGATAAAATATGAGCCAGAAATGTTGATATTATTTTATTTTTATGTGGAAAGTGCAACATATGTTTGCCAACTCAGCAAAGAAGGAAGGAGGTTGACAGTTTGAAAAAAAAAAAAAAAAGTGAAAACAGACCTGAGAAAAATATTACAACTTCACAGGGAATTATAGAAAAGCCCAAAGATCTGTAAAGTTTAGAGGGAGAAGTATAAAAATCCTAAAGATGAGAAGATTGGTTATTGCTTAAAAACAATAAATAAGTCATAGACTGCCAGTTCAATTAGATGGTTTCTGTTGTAGCCCAAGTCAGCAATGTACTATACTATCTACTTTGCAAATACTGCCTTGTAAGCGTCTGGAAACATTTGGCTAAAGACTGAAAAAGTATGTCAAACATTCACATTTTGTCTGAGTCCCTAATATTACTAAAAATGTACATTCACCTAAGACATGAGGCAAATAGCACCATGAGACCCCAAAGTTTAGAGGGAATATTGATTTATGATGTTGCCACTGTATTAACATGTTCTATGCTCATTTTACTCATTGGGGAAGGAAGACAGTGGAGAAGAGCTCACTACAAAGTAATCTGCTTTCTGAGAAAAGAGCAATCAGTGTGTTTGTAGTCATTTCAAGGAGCTCTCTTGGTTTTAACTCTAACATTTCCCATTTTGGGCAGAACAGCTGCATTTGATGAGAATGAGAATGAGAAAATGAGCATGACCATTTACGGGCTTTAGGGGAGGGTTTCCAACATAACTAAAGTTACATTATAGGACTTACTTTTGAAATATTAGATTTTTATGGGAAACACATTTTTTTTCAAGCTTTACGTGGGTGATAGATTAAAACTAAGTCACTAGGCAATCTGATCTGTGGATTTGGTCCTATGAGAAGTCAGCACATTTTAGGTAGTGATTTGCATAGCTATTGTGCATATGCATGGAGTCTGATTATTTAAATACTTATGTTTTCACAATGTGCTTTTAAATTGGTCTGAGAAAATGTAAAATGTGAAGGATCTATTTTTTTTCCTGTTGAACAAAAAAAAGTCATAATTTCCTTTAGAAAACTTTTATTTGGATAAAACTTTGATATGGATCAATACCTCTAAGCAAAACATTTTTTTTTTAATCTTAGAGAAGCTACAATAACTGGAGTTGGAGGGAAACTCAAATTTCAATGACTCACATTCTAATTCCTTATAGCAATGAGGCAGGTGTGATTAGCAACCCTTAGAAATTAAAGAAGGGGTGGGAAGTAGAAGTAGAATAATAAAAACACAAACATACAATAAAGGAAAACTACCTAGATTTTCCACCAGGACTTTTATTCCCGTATTTTGTTTTTCCTGATCAGCACAAAAAAAATTGCAATAACAGCATAAGATGAATGCAACAACATCTTAGCTATAGCATTATCTTCCTGGGCTAACTGTGAACTAAAACTTAAGAGGCTTCTTCTAGAACCTCAAGAATCACTGGGGAGGGCCCTCCCTCTTAGTGCAATAGGTTAGGACACAGCACTGCAAGCAAACTGCAGCTGCCTCAATGCAAGTTCAATCCCTGGCCCCGAAGGTGATCCATATGGCACACCAAACCTCTCCTGTCTCTTTGCTGTTCCCCTCAGCAGTGTACTTCGTTGACCTGCCTGTTTTTTTCTCCCCTCACTCTGTCTCTGGTGAATCCTCTCACTGCTCCTGTACCTCATAAATAACTATGTCTTAAAAAAAAAAAAAAAAAAGAATCAGGAGGAGTTTTCTCCCAAACAAGTATGTTGTCTTTTTTTGCCACTCTGTGGCATAGAAAATATCTGGGATAATAAAGTTTTCATAACTTATTATTCTGGAAATCCGAAGTTTAGATGGAGACACATCCATTTCAGAAGCTCTGTATACATTCCTTAAGAAGACCAAAAAATTTTACGAACACCTAGCAGGGTTAGTGAACTAATGCACTCAGATGATGCCGGTACACATAAAACTACCTGTGGTAAGTGGTCCATAGGAAACTCCCCCAGAGTGACTGAAGCTGAGATATATGAAATTACACTAAAAATAATTTGTTCTGAATTTTAACAGAAAGAAAGAAATATGTCAATGTGTATGAGAACATAGCATGCCTAATATTTATCTGGTCCTTTTTGTAAATCTTCTTTAACAACGACCTGTGATTAGAAAATCCCTCCACAGTATGGGGGAAACTAGTTTTGATACCTGTTAGCACCACATTAAATATCCTTTCTTAAACTGAAGCCACACAACATTGATCCATTAATTTACAAAAGGAATAACCCATGTGAACATATGATCTTAATAAGAGTTTTCCCATATACTTACTTCTCAATTTTCTTGGCTTTTACACTAGCTGACCATGCAGTGCCTTGGCTTCCAAAGTTCTGTGGATGCAAGCAGTAGTTACTGAAACAGAAAAAAGGAGGTGAATATTTTATGTCTCCATGGAATCTATTTGGATAGCCTTATGTATGATTTATGTTCCACATGTATATGGAACACATGGGTTATTTTCTGATGGAAACAATTGGCTTAGTGTTGGTATAGTGTCAGTTTTGCACAAAAGAAAATAAGGAAATGGTCAGTTCAACAAAAAGTTAAATGCTTAGTGTTTTAAATATAGGCTGTATCTCACCAGTTTAAATTGTCATATTTTCGCTGAATAGAGTGAAAGTCTAGATTTTGGGAAGTGTCACAATATTATAGAAAGTAATCCTCATGAAGGGTGTGGTCAACAGGAAATAAATAGCAGAAGTGAAAAAATAAAATAAAGCTGAGCAATTGACCAGGCAGTTATTTTTAAGCCAATAGCAGTAGCTTTTATTAGAATAGAAATGATTCAAAACAGAGCCATCCAAAAATTAAACAAAAACCCTCCCTTTTGAATGCAGCATACATGGTGGAAAAAAGGCATAAAATGAAGATATGCCGTTCTATGTGGTTTGTATGGGGATTCTGAGCTTCATCAGTTAGATGCTTTCCCAGGAGAATTCCTGACACAGGTTTTGTATATTAATTACAATTTCTAGGATAAAAAATGTACAAACAAAAATCTTGAAATATTTGAATGTCATACATTCCAAAGAAAACATCTGCCGTGTGCATAAACACATGGATGCCAGCTCTACAGGGGTGGTTAAAATGTCTATGTTGTTTTGAACCAAAATGGCTTCAGGCGCTCTAATAAAAGAACTTACCATAGAATGCAGAGGTCTCCTTCATTTTTACCCAACTTGCCACAAAATCCCATACAAAAAAAATCATGAGGACTAGTAAGGTAGATTCTCCTATTTATTCCGATATAGTATATCTGCTTCTTAACTGATGAGGTCTGAGATAATGATGTTAGGAATGAAGTACTTAGAACCGGCCCTTATAAAATGTCCGTATACAGGATTGCTGTTCAAAGGCCAAATGGGAACTTGATTTAATAATTTATAGTCAAAACACAATCAAGTTTTTAGTGTCATTGAACACACCATCCTCAATAGCTATCTTAGCCATAAATACACATTTCTGAAAAAATGCATCATGACCATGCTTGTCTGTGGCTTCTCACTGTGGAAGTCACAGAGTTGTGATGAGCTGGACCCTTACCACAAGGTTCAGTTTTTCTTGAGTGAAATCATGAATCTGTTGAATCAGAATTCAGTTATCTGACAGTTTTTGGTTTGTAAAGTAGAGTTTGAGAAATGGGATGAAGCTGGTAGTTTACATGCTTCAGAATTCTTAATTGTGTCTGTAGAAAATGGGGCAGAAGAAGTAAGAGGTCTGTGTACATTCATCGGGTTAGAAGACAAACCTATAAATTCTTTCAAGGCCTCCATTCACACATCTGGGACTCAAAGAATTTCCACCACAGTCTCTCCTCTTGTGCGTCACAGTGAAACTTTAGAGAACAAGGAGTTATGACTAAACATTACCCTGATAACAGTGATGAACTGTGGGTATCTACTCATTGTGTTGCTGCCTGTTAGTTACAGTGACATTTACTGAACATTTATGTGCATTGTCTAATGATGAAAGTTAATAGTCCAACCACCATTTTTAAAAACATGGAAACTGAAGCTTAGTGATGTACATTAACTTACACAAAATTACAGATCTGGGATGCCTGAGTTGGGATTTTGAGGTCACACTGCTCAGCTCTCATGGATGCTACCTCCATTCTCACTACAAACTATCTTTTGCATGTTGACAAGATGGCAGAAAAATGTACTAAAACAGCAAGTAAAGACTAAGTCCATTTTTTCTTAAATATTTATTTATTTGTGTATACAAGAATTGGGGTACAGGCCAGAGGTACAGGGGGTGAGAGGACTCACCAGAGATAGAGTGGGGAGCAGAACAGGCAGATGCACTGAAGTACGTGGCTGAGGGGGAACACCATGGGAGACAGGAGAGGTCTGCTGCACCATGTGGGTCACTCCCTGGCCAGGAATTGAACTAGTGCTGCCGTGTGGCTGAAGATTACTTCATAATGATGAGACTTAACTCTTTACGCGCCTCGTCTATCTTGTGTGTTCACTTTTAATTTTGAAGACTGAATATAATTGTTGAAAAGTGTGTCTTATTCACTCACAAAGACAAGCCACATGACAATTCTCCACATCAGGCTATGTTGAAATTTTGGATTACCTGGACTCTTTGTTTATTTGCATAGTGCTGTGTGAACATGTAGAGGGGCACAATTCTCTCTTTACTAGTGCCTGGTTCACAACAGGCACACAAAACGCACTTGAACAAATAATCATAGAATCCAATACTTGTCCAGAAATAGGTGGCATCAACATGTGTACACACATCCATCCAATTTTCACTGTTCTAGAATTTGACTGGGTTTGGTGGTTGAATTTCATTTCCCTAGTTTTCATCTCCACCTAAAATTAGTCTTCCAGTACATCTTTCCATACTATTAAACTTTCATGATGTTGTTATCTAATATTTTCCCAGAACAAACATAATTTAACCAAGAACCAATTGAAAGGACAGAGGAGCACAATTAGCCTTGTTAATATTTGGAATTTGTAACTGTATAAGGAATTGCTTGTGTCATTTAGGTGGAAGGAACATTTAAGGAAAAAATTAAAAAAAAAATTGAATAATGGGGACACAGGGAGAAATATGCAGTTTTGCTGGAGGGCAGAGGGGAGTGATCATCTCCCTCCCTGAGGCATTATCTCTAAAATCCTAGTAATTCTGACTTGGTCTTCTAACTGTGGTAAAATTAATTGTCATAAAGTTATGTGGATTTTTTTTCTTTTTCATGTAGGTATATGTAGTGCTGAATTCCTTGGCAAAAGTGAATTTTTTATAATGGTGATGCTTAAAGTCCCTCAGAGTCATGTTCTTATGGATCTATTCCTGAGATTTTATAATCCTTTGTGGTACTAATTTCCTGTTTCTACGTCTGTCCACCACTCAAGCATCTAATCTGATGACTGATATTAAAACACAATTCAATTTCATTAGATAGTTGGAATTAAAAGACTCATTTCATTTTCCAACCCATTATGGCGCAACATCAAAGAAAACATATAAATCTTAAAGAAAAAAGTCAACAGTCAGCAAACAACACATCTATGCTCTAGTTTCAAAAATTTCTTACAGATTAGAATATAAATCTTTATATATGAATGGTCTTCAAATAAGGTATCTTGGAATGTGGATGCATCCACAGCTGAAATGCTAATAAACCCTGAAAAGAATTGACATTTCCATAACTATGATCCAGGTTATGGAACATGATTATAGATGTAAAAAGTTCAGGATGAAAATGATTTTTAGTCATAAAAGTGAAAGCTAATACTTCTGCATTAAATGGCTGATATTTTCAAAATATCTTTTTGAGCATTTTGAAGAAAGTAACAGATGTAAATGTAATTTATAACTTTTAAACGACCAACTTGTTGCCCTTGTTAATTGATTTTTCAGTCTGATACAATCACACCCCCTTCCTATAGCACGGTGGTTATACAATTGAAGACCATGGGCCTTCGTAAACCTTATTAGACTAGAAAGGCAAAATATTTATCTTGCATGTAATTCATTAATTCTTTTTTGTTGCTTAAAGCATTTTCTCTCTCCACTAATTTCATTGATTTCTGGCTACTTCAATGCACACTGATAGTCATAGTCTGCTGGTTTTCCACAGTCCACCTAGACTCAGAGACACAGCTGACAAGCTAACACTACTGTTATTGTCTGACTTCCTCCCATTCTTTCTAAATCATAATATTAACTAACATTATTCCATGTTTACAATTGTTGAACTCAGTGCTGAATTATTTTCAGTCATCAGCTCTCTTAATCTTCATATCAGCAGGTGGTAGGGATTGTGATGCTAACATTTTCTAGAAAGGAGTAATGTGTATTGGTTGAAAGTCCTAAGTTTTGCTATTATTATTTTTTTTTGAGTTGATTTTGGTTTCTCTGTCAGAAAACCTCAGGTTTTTAAACTTTCATGTGACAATGATAATCATAGTTACCACTGTCTGAACTCTCACACCATGAGATCCTGGTGATCAATGAAAACATTACAGCATTTTTAATATTGAACAGAACAGTCATTGAAACAGCAATAAGTAGAAATAAGTGCAATTGAGATCTGATATATCTTTTTTTTTAAATTTATTCATACAGAACTGGGGTACAGACCAGAGATGCGGAGGGTGAGAGGGTTCACCAGAGACAGAGTGGGGAGCAGAACAGGCAGATCATCGAAACACACTGCTGAGGGGAGCAGCGGGGCGGGTCAGGAGAGGTCTGCCACGCCATGTGGTCACCTCCAGAGCAAGCAGGGATCGAACTCATGAGGAAGTGGCTTAATCTTCTTAGTGCAGTGCTTTAACCCGCTGCACCACCAGGGAGGGCCAAGATCTGATATAGCTTATTGGTTTAAGAATCCATTTTTGGGAAACAAAATCTTGATTCTAATTCCATAAAGTAAACATTTATCTTTGCACACTCTATTTACTCTCTCACATTATCACGGGAGCAAGTTTTGGTCTTTAAACTGCTATTGTTGCTACTTTAAGGAAGTATATGCACTTGGGCAACATTCCTTTAATATTGATTTTAATTGCTCTGATTTTTTGTAATTTCTAATCAAAGATTTTCCCCAAACAGGTTTTCCCATAATCAATGACATTTCAAAATATTAGACCGTGACTTCACCCACTCCCCTGATCAAAGTAAATATGCTCTCCTCCCCCTAGGAAGTGTTCCTTACACATGATCTCCTCGAAGATGATGAGTTCAAATCCTGAGGAAGACCCTTTGGACACATTTCTCCAGTACATCGAGGACATGGGGATGAAGGCCTATGATGGCTTGGTTATTCAGAATGCATCAGACATTGCTCGAGAGAATGACCGCTTGAGAAACGAAACAAATCTGGCTTACTTGAAAGAAAAGAATGAAAAACGCCGGAGACAAGAAGAAGCAATAAAACGGTAAGTGTAAGCAAATATTCTAAGTCTTGTGCACATGAGGAAATGTGAATGCTGCTTAGGTTAAGGTGTTGTCACCTGGTCAAGTCAGGACTTGTCAAAGTTAGACTTTGACAATGAAACAAAATCCACCCTACTCAATCCTTTTCTTCGTTAAGAGAAGTTATTTACTGGAGTGCTGGGCAGATGGAGGTACAGATGGGATAGGGAAGGAATTCAGCTTCCTCGAAGTAAAAGTTCATATTGAACAACCTCTTGATAAAAACACACTAACTCTGTAATAGTTATCAGGGTGCAAAGGAAATCATCTCATATTGCTTTGGGTTTTTCTAGGCTGGCAAATAATCAAACAAGCACCAGACAGATTGATAAGAGAAAAAAATAAAAAGGAAGTTCAATAATAACATGTGCTCCACTTGAATACATGGGAGGCATCCAGGAAAAACTGAAAGCTGACCACATGGTTTCAGCCTTAAAATAGCTCAGCTGGGCCCTCCCTGGTGGCACAGCAGGTTAAAGCACAGCACTAAGAAGCTAAAGCCACTTCCGCATGAGTTCGATTCCCGCCTGCCCCGGAGGTGACCACATGGTGTGGCAGACCTCTCCTGACCTGCCCGCTGCTCCCCTCAGCAGTGTACTTCCTCGATCTGCCTGCTCTACTCCCCACTCTGTCTCTGGTGAAGCCTCTCGCCACCCCTGAGCCTCTGGCCTGTACCCCAGTTCAAATAAATAAATCTTTAAAAAAAAATAGCTCAGCTAAGATGGGAGGATTCTGGGGGCAGGTGTTAAGGTCAGATAGGGAATCTACCAGGGAAGACACACTCAAAAAAGGCCTGACTATTATGTAGATTTAAATTCTGTCTTCTTCAATGGTGAAGTTAAAGAAATTGTATTTTATGTCAGAATTCACCCAGTAGTTTCAGATGACCAGATCACTTAGAATGTATCCCCCTAGTTGTATGTAGTTGAAGAATAACTAACTTTCCAGGCACAGGGAAACCAACCAAAGGTAAGCAAACCTCTGACTCCTGAAAAAAGGGTTGATGGCCAGCTTGAATTCTGACTCCAATTCTGAAGTAAGGGGATCAGGCATAAATACATTAATCTGGAAACTGGAAATAACTGAGCCAAGTTAAGGCATCTTTCACCTGTGGTCAAGATTGGCATCAACAAGCAAACAATGAACACAATGTACAAAATGACCCAATTGTTGATGTCCAAGTTACAATGTAAATTCCTTGAAAAAAACAGTTTTGTTTCTCCTACAGTTCTCAGAACAAGACCTAAAACTGACTGATTGCTCAGTCACTGCTTGCTGTTACACATATTGATTTATTAAAGATATATTTATGGCATATATATATATATATATACATATACATACATATATACATACATATATATATACATACATATATATATGCAATATATTTATATTTTAGTATATATATATATATATATATTTACTAAGTATCAAGGAGTGTTCTAGAACTTGATGAGATACCAATAGACAGAATGAAGGAACCGTGTTCTCAGGGGAAGATCAATGAGGCCCAGCACCAAGCAAGTAAATATGTACAAATAGATGTGACAGGGGTAATATCTATTTTGTACACAGTAAAACAAAGCAAGATAAAGTAGATTGCAGATAGTAAGGAAGATCTTGTAAATAAAATGAAATTTAAGACTTTGGAAATGTACCTTCTGAGAGATGAGACCAAAGACATTCTTTGGAAGAGAATTCTGGCAGAGGCAAAAAGTAGGTTTGCTGTAGTGACCAAGACTGAATGCACATTTAGACTAGTGAGCCAATAGTAATGCAGAGCCTTATAAGCTTTGTTGTTTTACTCTGAAGGAGAAAAAAAAAATCACTGAAGAGTTTTGAGCAGTGTGGCTTGCTCTACCTTGACATTGCTCAGGGATTAGTCTGGTGCCGAGTACTGAACAGGTGAATGGGATGGGGCAGCAAACGCATAACCCAGAGAGAATGTTTTTGCCATAATTCAGCTGAGAGATAACAGTGGTTTGGACTAGGGTGGGAGCAAGAAGGTGACCTAAAAATGGTCAAGCAATGGGCACCATCAGGATTTTCTATTTGGTGAGATGTAGGAGTTGAGAAAGAGAAAGCATTGAAAATGGCTCTCAGTTTCATTTTGGGGTTCTTCTGAGTTGGTTGCTGGCTGTGTTGCATTTTTTTCCTGGATCATGAGAAGAATGATGCTTACATTTAATGACATAGTGAAGTCATGAAGAGAAGCAGATTGAGGTTAAATGTGGGAGAGCAGAAGGTCAATTTGGGGATGCTGGTTTTGTAACCCCTTTTAGAAATCTAGGCAGAGATGAATGATAGGCAGTGGCGTGGAGGACTTCTGATGAAGTCCAAAGCTGGAGATTTGTTATGACAGTTGTCTTCTGTAGATTTGAGTCATGAGCCTTGTTGAGGAGCCCTAGGATCAAAGCACCCAGAACATAAAAGCACGCAGGACCCTTCTTTGCAGCACCTGATTGCTTACATGATAGGAACAATAGAAGAATCCAGGAAAGAGGAAAAGAATCACAAAGGGATGTGAGGCCTCAGATTGGAGAGACAAAGGCTTAAAGAAGAGAGAGATTCTGCTGAATGATCAAATAGGTTGAAGCCTGTGTCTTTTTCTGCATGGGTGACGCTGGTGGAGGCTGTAACAAAAGTGCATGAGGATATTTGTGAGGGAGAGGGGAGAAATGGATTGAACAGAAATAAAGGACTATTTTGAAGACTTTGGAGGTTAAAAAATTAAATATGGAGAATAATTGAAAAGGACTGTGGGGTCTAAAAATGTACATTTTTCACCTCAAAAAGTGAACAATGCTGATACAGTGACTATAATAGGAAGGGAAATATAAAGACATAGGAGAGGGGCAGATACATAATGTGATGATGAGCCCATTGGGGGGCTCTCAGGCTTCGTAGGTAGAGCCAGACTGCTAAGCCATCCTAACAGTGGGGGTACCCCAGTGCATGGGTGAATGAATGATGAACAGATGAGTGGTGATCCCTGCATGGAAAGTACCCAACCTCCTACATCATATCCCAGACACTATGTGCTCACAGCCCCCACAGCTGCTTCTCTATAATGTCGCACAATCAATAACTTGTCACACTCTTTCTAGTTTTCCCTTACCCAATTATTTTTCTGGAATTCTAGTTTAAAGTGCAAATGTCTTTGGAACAGAGAGAATATCGGTGAGGGTCTAGGGAGGGACTTTGTACAGCCTGAGAACAAAGAAGTTTCTGGATGCTTTTGTGTTGAAGCTTGAGAAGGAATGTAGGTGAACCCATGCATGATGATTAGTCAGGCAGGGGGAAGCCGGGGGCCTTAGTGGCCCTGGCTGTGGGGATCTGAAGGAACCCCATCTCAGTGGCTATTGTCATGTCCAAATTCAATTTTCTATGCTCATAAGATGCCAGTGAGCCTGGGGTTCTGAGAATTAAAAAACAAACAAACAAACAAAAAAACCTTTTCTTCTCACATTACATAATAGGAATTTTTTCAACTCTCCTAATAAAAAAAAATATTTTTTGTATTTTTTTTTTAAAGATTTATTTATTTGTACTACAGAACTGGGGTACAGGCCAGAGGCTCAGGGGCGGTGAGAGGCTTCACCAGAGACAGAGTGGGGAGCAGAACAGGCAGATCTATGAAGTACACTGCTGAGGGGAGCAGCGGGCGGGTAAGGAGAGGTCTGCCACGCCATGTGGTCACCTCCGGGGCAGGCGGGATTCGAACTTATGCGGAAGTGGCTTTAGCTTCTTAGTGCAATGCTTTAAGCCGCTGCGCCACCAGGGAAGGCCATATTTTTTGTATTTTTAATAATTTTGAATCCTCTATATCAAGATGCAGGCCACACAGGCAGTCTGGGGTCCCAGGATTAGTGATATAAACAGAATACCCACATTAAAATTTAACACATTTTAATATTTTTAACATGCAATTTATGTCAAGTTATAGAGAGAAAATTCAATGTGACATTAATGAACACAATCTAATCAATTGAAATTATTTAACATGTCTGCTGAATGTCTTCTTAAATATATGCTGTGATTTAATATTTAGGGTGTAAATGCTGAAAATCTAAAGATGGGGCCTATTTGACCTTGGAAAGGCATTGATGATAATTCTCTGTGAAATATGCCAGTTGCAATTTCAAAAATGTGCAGACTGCCAAAAGATTGCTTAAAAAAATGGAAATAGGATTTCATATGATTGACCTTCTGGATCACATATGTGCTGAAATGCCTTTTGTGTTGAAGCTGGGAAAGCTTAAAACTGAGCTCTTGGAAAGAGAATATCCTTATCATTTTCTCTGTGTTCTAAGTCTTAGGCTTTCTGAGTCCAACTCCTTCTTTTTAAACTAACTTGAATCTCTTGCACTCCCTTCCTTAAACCTGCACTTCTGTTGCTCAACTAGGAATTTACAAAAGGCTCGTGAGTTAAAACTTCTAAATAAATAGTAATATTGTCAATGCTTTTCTTAACATTTGCAAATAATATTTGGTGAGAGAGAAAAAGATAGACTGAAAAGAAAAAAAGTTAATGGAGAATAAAAAAAAATCAGAACCTCATCATTTCTGCTATTTTAAATCCTAATAGTTTTGTGCAGACACTGTTAAATGAGATTTACTTTTTATTACAGAGTCTATAAGAAAACAGACTTCTAGAAGCTACAGTGTCAAACAAGTGAGCACACTTAAGATACATTACACAACCCCAGCGTGTTGAGTGTATGGGTTAAAAACAATGTATATGCAACAGGGATCATAGGTAGATCAAAATATTGATACAGCACAGATTGTCATTGAGAAGGGGCAGCTGACAAATGAGAACAGTCTGGCATACGTGTGTGTAGCTGTGAACACAGACCTGCTTTGGAGGTTTACGATTCTCCATGTGTCACCTTGAGTTCAACATCAAATAGCAATATTCACTGAATAGGATGATTAGTCAAAAGGTCATCTGGTATAC